AGCATCTCTGTTGAGTTTCTTTTTGGTAGTTCTGTCTTTTCTTGAAAGTGGTGTGCTGATGTTTCCAACTATGATAGTGGTGTTGTCTATTTCCTTTTTCACTTTTGTTAGTGTTTGCTTTGTATATTTTGCAGCTCTAACATTTGGTGCATAGATATTTATTATTTTTATATCCTTTTGTTCTATTGACCCTTTAAGCATTATGTAGTGACCTTTCTTTTCCTTTGTGATGATTTTTGCACTGAAATCTATTTTATCAGAGATTAATATCACTACTCCTGAGATTTTTTTTGGTTGCCATTTGTTTGGTATATTTTCCCCTATCCTTTGCTGTTTAGTCTTTCTTTTATCTTTACTTTTCACATGTGTCTTTTGTAGACATCATGCTGATGTGTTGGCTTTTGTTTTTGGTTTTGGTTTTTGATTTTTTTATCCAATCTTCTACTCTTTATCTCTTCAGTGGTGCATTTAAACCATTCACATTCAGTGTGATTATTGAGACCCAAGGGTTTTTTTGCTATTATTTTGTTGAGTTCTTATTGGTTATTTTGGTCCATCCCACTTTCTGTGGCACTGCTGTAAAGAGGACATCTCTCGGTTTTTCCTGCAATGCTGGTCTTATTTGTACCAACTCCTTTAGGTTCTGCTTTTCTGAGAATATCTTGATCTCTCCTTCATATTTGTTGGACAGTTTTTCTGGGTATAGTATTCTAGGTTGACATTCACGTTTTTTGAGTGTTTTATATATATCATTCCATTTTCTTCTTGCTTATATGGTTTCTGTTGATAAATTGGCACTTAATCTTATTTGCTCTCCCATATAGGTTACTCTTTGTTTCTCATTAGGTGCTTTCAGAATTCTCTCCTTATCTTTTTTATGGCAAAATTGACTAGGATATGACTTGGTGTTTTTCTTTTTGAGTCTGTTCTATATAGTATTCACTCAGCTTCTTGAGTATATATATATTTGGTCATTATTCATTACATCTGGAAAGTTTTCTTCTAGTGATTCTTCCACAACTTTCTCAGTGCCTTTACTTACTTCTTGTTCTAGGATTCTGATTATGAGCATACTATTCCTCTTGATGATGCCCCACATTATTCTTGAGCTTTCTGATTTTTCCTTCCTTTTTGATTCTGCTTTTTGTTCTAGAAGATCAGTGTTGACCATTTTATCTTCTGTTTCACTAGTTCTGTGTTCTAGCTCTTCAAGTCTGTTCCTGTGTCCCTCCAACATGTTGAAAGCATCTGAAACATTGGTCCTCATATTTTAAATAGTGGTTTCTTATTTTTACAGAGCCTCTAAAGCTTCATTTGTTTTATCTGTATTGTTTTGAATTTTTTAAGCCCCTCTTGTTTTTTGCTTGCAGTGTCCTTTAATTCTTCAAATTTGTCTTTCACTCATTGAAAATATTCAATCATTGTTGTTTTAAATTCTGTGTTAGAAAGTTCCATCAGCCTTTCTGGTCTCAGGAAATCCATTGATATTGTGTCACTTTTGTGGAGTGACATCTTGCTTTGTGTAGGGTGTCAGATAGTCTGCTTCTTATGTGACATTGCTGTGGTAGAGTTTTTCATTCCTAAGGTGATAACAGCCTCTTGGTCTGAAATCACTGCTCTGGAGGAGGGTGGTGCAGCTACCCTTCCTGAGTTTTTCTTTGAACTTTTAACTCAAAGGAAGACTTACTTCAGTTCTAGAGAGATAAGACCTGTGAATTAGCAACCTCCTCTGTTAGGCAACTGCTGAAGCCAGGCAAGTCCAAGATGCTTTGGGCTAAAGGTGGCTCACACTTTGGGAGGGAAGAGGAAATGAAATGAGTTCATTTGTGATACTGATGTCTCTCGTGCAGTTCAAAGGGGCAACAGCAGGTCGTCCTCCAGGTGTTGGTGTTGGGAAATCCAGGCCTTGAGACAAAGTCCTCCAGGCAGCAAGGGGGTGGAGCCTCTAAACAATATTCTAAAAATTATTTTTTATTTTATATTGGTTTACATACAAAATGAGTATGCATTGTGTTTAGTTTTATCTGAACAAATTTAAGATCTTGAAGAGCAGTGTGCACAATTCTATGTAAATGTGAAGCCATTTTTATTATTGCTGTTCCTAGTGCGTCAATTCTAAATAGCTATAAGTGAAAGTATATATTTGATTTTTGTAAAACAGTATCTAATTTAGTAAGGGAGTGGAGAGCATTTTACTAAGTTAACTAACTCAGTCTCATGAGGTCAAATAATGCATAAGACCATTATTGTAGACCATGTATGAGGATCCAATGGGGAGAAGGTGGGAGCAGAGGTGTGAGGATGGGAGGGGTGAAAAGTGAAGGGTGGTTAATCACAGAGTCACATAATTTGATGGGTGAAGGGAGGGATGGGTAAAAGAATGGGAAAGATACAGTTTGAAAAACTACAAACTTTGTAAGCAAAGCAGTATAAAATAAAAATTTCATTTTAGTATATATTTTAGAGTCTTCATAGTGCTTTTGGCAGCCACCCTTCATAGTCCTATTATGTTTGGGAAATTATTAATTCATATAATATGTTTTGTGATTAATAGTTCTGTGATTTTTTTCTCATTAAAACTTTAAATTTCTGTTGGTCTATTTTTTAAAAAATAAATCACATATTCAACTGAAGATCTAAGAATACACTTTGTACAGGAAGAAGCATAACTGTTATCTATAGTCTCAAATAATAATAGTGGGTAAAATGGATTGATATGGTAACTGGCTTGTCAGAGTCAGTGAGACTGGCTCAGGACAGGGTTCAGAGCTATTGCACATAGGGTCACTATGAGTCACAGGTGACTTGATGGCACATAACCAAAACAGATGTTGCAGTGACAACCCTAGAGTCAAGTGATTCAAACCTACTAGCAGCTCTGAGGAAAAAAGGTAATCTCCTATTCAATGTACAGCCTCTTGAAATGCACTAGAGAGTCTGTTGGTTACAACTAGATGGCAGGGGTTCAAGTTGAATTGAATAGTAGCACTAGCAGTCTCTCAGATATGAATGAATATGTTCTGTTTCTAAAAAGTGTTTCTTTCAATAGAATTTTAGGTAAGTTAGAAAAGATATATACAGTGTGGGTTTTTTAAATTATTAATTTTTTTCCATTTTCATTGTTTCTGTAATGATTTACAGCTGTGGAAACCCTATGAGAGTTCTACTCAATCCTACAGCGATAATCAGTATTGATTTAACAGCAGTGAGCTTTTGTGGAAGCAGTGGGCTTTTTAGTGGAAGGAGGAACTGTATCCTGATGACACAGTGGGTTAAATATTGGCTAATAACCAACAGATCAGCACTTCAAACCTATTAACCAGTCCACAGTACAAAGATGTGTCTTCTCACACAATAATTTACAGCCTATGAACCATAGAAGGCTTCTTACTCTGTCCTATAGGTATCAGTGAGTTAGAATAAATTGGTGGTAAGGTGATGGCTTTGGTGGGTTGGATTAGGGCAAGCAAAAGTTTGCACTTTTTCAATGATTTTAAAGCTGTCTCAGCACCCAGTAAAGGTATTTATTTTTTCATTTATATTTTTATTAAAAATTACTTATCATTATAAATAAAATTATCAGATTGCTACTTAAAATCTACATGTTTGCTATGCTTTTTTAAAAATAATTTTAATTAACATTTACAGAGAATCTGGATTTCCATTCATTCATTGCTGCACTTCTCTACCCGCCCAGCCCTCTCACCCCGCCCCCCAGTTCACTCCCCTCTTTCAAAAGCAAAAGAAAGACTCCCTCCTTGGTACACAATCCCCCCGCACCCCTCCCACCACCCCAAGTACATTCCACTATGCAGCCTTAATTGTGGACTCTTGTGATAACCATAATACCCTATTATACATCACTTTTAAATTATTCAATCCCTCATCTGTTTCAGTGCAATATACACAATTTATCCAGTTTTTCTCAGTCTTAACCCCACCCTGATATTAGTCCCATTTTACAGCAGTGGCACCATGCAATATTTGTCCTTTTGTTACTGAGATATTTCACTCAGCATAATGTCCTTCAGGCTCACGCATTTTGAATAATACTGAATTAGTTGTTTTTCAACGCAGCGTAGTATTCCACAGCTTCTCTATCCATTTGTTTGTTGATGGGCACCTGGGTTGTTTCCAACTCCTTGCTATTGTGAACAGAGCTGCGATAAACATGGGTGTGCACATATCTGCTTGGATGTTAAAGGTAGTTATTTTGAAGTATTTGTTCTGAGCAGGGGTTATTTCGGTTGTTTCCAAGTAATGACCAATTTGCATAGCATTAAAGGGCAAGTATTTGTTTATAAATCTAACATGTATAACCCAGGAACTGCCTGTATACAAAAAAGCATTTTTATCCAAAGTCTCTGTAAATTTTCATTAAAATTAATTAAAAATGATTTAAAAAAGAAAGAAAAAGCATTTTTAAGAAACAATTTATTCCATGACACTGAGGTGGGAAGACACAGGTTGGACTGGCTATGAAACATTATCAATGACTATATAAGTGGCTAGATAATATAACAGATAGATGTCTTCCATGCCAACCTTACTGAGTTGAGCATAACTTTTACTTTTAATAAATTTTTATTCAGAGTAGTAAAAGTAGTGAGAAAAAAAGAAAACAGGCAACTCCTCCTTTGTGAGTAATTGCTTCTGAAAACCCACCAGAGGGTCAGTCAGCTGTGGGTCAGATCCGACTCGACATTACACAACAACAACACAACACATATGCAAGTAACCATAATCAGTACCAACTGAATCATAAGTAGAGTTTGGACTCTTATTTACTAAAAGGACAAAAACATCTGAGAAGCTTTACTGGTAATGTTGGTGATAGTGTTGTTTGACAGATTTCATGGGGAGAAGCAAGGTAATAAGTGACAGCTTGTGAATGCAGTTTTAATTGTGTGGGAAAATAAATAAAAGTCATTCCACAATGATGGTAAGATATATATGTATAGTAAGGTGATATCCATAACATCTCTCTTTTTATTACTTAGATACTTTTAGAAAAGTTGTAGATCACTTTGGAAGATTGGACATTTTGGTCAATAATGCTGGAGTAAATAATGAGAAAAACTGGGAAAAAACTCTGCAGATTAATCTGGTAAGCTATGCTAACTATACATTTTACCTAAAAAAATTTAAGAATGTGATGTTTATAACAAAAACAAAAAAAAGAGTTGGGTTTTTATTGTTGGTTTTCCCCCTCCCATATTCCTGGAAGCAAAATCACAAACTACAATAATAGAGTAATTTGGAAATTCAAACTGCTAAACTTTTTGGTAAGCAGCTAAGCACTTTAATCACTGTGCCACTGGAAAGCCTAACTTCTATGTAGAGAAAAAAATTTAGAGAATTCAAGAAAGGGGAGAAGGAAGTGAAGCATTTCTTTCACAAAAAGGGAGACATTCAATTCTGTCTTAAAATGTTACCTCGGGAGTGTGATGGGGAAAAAACAACTGCTGAATTCAGAAATTGGCAAACTGTGTGGTTCATAGGCCACATGGCCTTGTTAATCTGGATTTGTATGGAAAAAGTTTATAAAATTATGACTTTATTTATTAAATTTACTTATCAAAGGCTAAGAATACTTAAAAAAATAACAAAATAATTGGAATTTACTCTTATTAAAATTTGTATCCTGAAATTTTCTGTGTCTGTAATTTCTAAAATCTTTACATTTGAATGTGTCATTTTATTAAATTTATTAATTATATTAAATATTAAATCTGATGACTAGTTAGCTCTTACATTATAAAGAGGTAGAATCAAAGAATAACATTTTCTTTTTTTTAGCTATTAAATCACAAGTTTGTTGGATTTTACATTTCTAAGCACACTTCACAGAAGACATTCAGGTTTAGTAAATCTAAAACCTTAGCCAAAATGAAATGTTAGAACTGGTTTGTGCCTGGGGTTACCTTGCCCTTTGCAAAGTCATTCTTTGTAATCATGTAGAACAAGCATGTGGAAAGTACAAGTCAACATTGTGGGTGTGGAAACATCCAAGGAGGAGCCTCTCACTCCATGGTATCCTTACAGATGATTGCAAATATCTTTAAAAAAAAGGGAACTTGTTATCATTTTCTTATTTCAATAACCTACACAATATCTTAAAGATAGGGCTAAATATATTAAATAATAAATACTTGACTTGAATTACTCATAAGTAATTTATTTTCTGTAATAACAACTTGGTAGAGTCTCAGGATAGAGCAGGGTTCAGTTCAGCAACGCAAATTCAAGATGCTTTTAGTTTCCTCAATCATCATGTAAGGTTTGCCTCAGAACAGTTATAAGTCAGCTTTGCCTTAATTGCAACCACAGCAACACCTTTAACTCTGGCCTTTATCTCAGGGCTCTTTTGGTTACACCTTGCCACAGTTTCTTTACAGCAGTGCCACAGTCTCTCAACAACTATCACCAGGGTCTAGCCACCAGGGTATCACTTTTACCAGGGTCTATGCTCCAGTCTCCCTCAAGTCTTGCCATCCAGGGTGGGGAACACTCTCTCTCTCTCTTATCCTAGTCTCTCAGCTGTTGAGTGTGTGTGTGTGTGTGTACAGTTAAGGTGGTTAGAGACAAGAGGGCATAGGTAATGGCTAACAAAAGACAACTTTAGGCTAACACTGCAGTGCAGTTGCAATGGACCCAAATGACTGCAGGTCTATATAATATATGGAGTGTAAATGCTGTCCCATAGAATTTCTTGATCTTTGGAAAATTTTTTTAGTTGTAGCTCCATTTACTGCTTGTATAGTTTTTGATCATTCTATGCTTTCAGAGGAATTTGTAATGGCCCAGTGATAAGGAGTTGCATTGCCAACTCAAGGGAACTCAATTTTACTCTACCGGTCGCTCCATGAGAAAAGATGGCCAGTCTCTTCCTATTCAATTAACTGCGTCTGAAAACTTGCTGCAGGGTCAGTTATAAGTGGATTCTGACTTGACTGTAAATAAAATAACAACAACATATTTTCAGATATAAAATTACTATGCTGTAATTTTCTTTTGGTTCATACTTACCAAGATATACTTTTCTATTCCATTCTATTGAAAATAAAACTATTTCTCTTAGTCTCTTAACAGCATATGATTTCATTTTTCAAACTCACATTTGAGAAGTTCTCTTTGTAATTTGTGACTTCAAGCCATTTCTAGTTCTTCTTACTCTCATACTAAGTTATTTTATCCACATTTGTCCATATGTTAGTTTTACTAAGGTTTGGGTTATGTTTTCTTCTTTTTTCATTCCATTCTTAAAATCCATTGAATGAATTTCATTTTCCTATGTTGGCTAAATAACAAAACAACCTGTGCATTTTATTCTTAATCGTGTTTGGGTATCCCTGAATTAATGACACCTATTCTTAATTATATCTTTTGTCTGAAAAAAAAACCCATTAAGTGTTGAATATACAACTAATTTGTACAAACAAGAATTTTTAGTAAGTTTTTAGAGCCTTATGCTCTCGTCAGATCCACAAAAATTGATGTAATTTTCTTCTTTTTTACAAATTCAAACTATCTTAGTTAAAAAGAATTAGTGGGAAAGCCCAGCTTTTTCTCTTTAGCAACTAATGCTATTTTAAACAGTCCTATCAGTGATATATACGGAGCGTTTATGGCTTAGTGGAAGAACAAGGATGTTTTCTTCTGACCCCTCCTTCTACAACTAATTCTCCTAGATCTTTAACTGTTGATATTTAACCTGCTTGTTTTTCTCTGGGCCATGCTGATTTGGACTACTTTGAACTCCAGAGACTAATGAAGGGGTTTTTGGTTTTTTGGTTTGTTTTTTTTTACTTCAAGTGAGCAGTATATGACCTTTGTTACCCAGATATAACTTGCAATTTTCTTACTTTTCTTCCTGCTTACATTTGCTACAAGGAGAGATTAGAGTCTGCCCAATCATTTTCCTTTCAACTTTATTATCTATGCAACTGTACTGCAAATATTTGTATGTGGTTTATAAAATCATTTCTTTTTAAACCCTGCTCTGGATATAATTTGCATCTTTGGGTTATATACAATTTTAGGTGTGTTGCTTTGAACTACCTCAATACCCATATTATAGAGGTTTTTTTAAGTGCTTAAAAACCCTGTGTCTCTCTCTTCTGGAGAAAAAACTCAAAACAATAGCAATACCACTTTCAAGTAACTTGTATACATAAAATTGTTATTTTGTATCCTTATGGAAAGCTATTCAATTAGTATTTCTTAACTCACTCAATTGCAGCTATGTGATACTTTATGTATTTGAGCTTTCTTGTCTGTGCTTTGTATATTATTTGTATAATTTCTAATACATCAGTATTACCAGAGGTCATTATCTGTCTTACTATGTTTGTTGGTTTTAGTAGGTCTATCAAGTTGACTGCAACTCATAGCTACCCTGTGAACAAAGGCTCTGAACCTTGCACCATCCTCAAAATCTCTGAAGTCTCGAGCCCATTGTTACAGTGACTCTGCCAGTCCACCTTGTTGAGGCTCTTCTTTTCTTTCTCTGGCCCTTTCATCTTTACCAGCATGATATCTTTTTCCAAAGTATGGGCCCTCCCAACAACATGCTCAAAATATGTAAGGTGAAGTTTCACCCTGGTTGCTTCTAAGAAGCACTCTGGTTATACTTCCTCCAAAACAAACTATTTCTTCTTTTGACCATTCATAAGATATCATATACCACAGTTCAAAGGCAATGATTCTTATTGTCACTGTCTCAGTCTATCTTGTTGAGAATCTTTCTCTCATATTCTGACCCTCCACATTTCCTGTCATTATATCATTTAATAAAGACTGGTCTCTCCTGACCACATAATCAAAATATATGAGACCAAGTTTCATCATTCTTGACTCTAAAGAAAGTACCCTGGTTGCATAGCCTCCAAGACAGTTGTGTTAGTTCTGTTGACAATTCATGGGATCTTCAGTACTATTTTCCCAACACCACAACTCAAAGGTATAGATTCTTCTTCTGTTATCTTTTTTATCATTCAACTTTAAGATGCATAGAAAGTAATTTAAAATACTAGGATATGGATCAGGAACATTTTAGTCTTTGAACTGACAATGTTGCTCTTTGGCACTTTGGCGAGATACTTAACATCGTATCTTCCCAAGACAACACATCTTTTGATTTCTAGACTTCTGTTACCATGGAGGTTGATTATGGATTCAAATATAATGAAACTGTTGACAACTTCGTCTTTTCTCCATTTTTCATGGTGTTGCCTAGTCATCAAATAGTGAGGCTCTTTCCCTTGATTTTGAGATTAATTTGTATTGAAGGTTATAGTGTTTGATCTTCCGGAGCACATGTTTCAAATTGTCTTCACTTTCAGCAAGCAAAGTTTTGTCATTTGCATGCACAGGATATTGGTAAATATCCATCTAATCCTGATGCTACACTCCTCTTCATATACTTTTGATTCTTGAAGAATTTTCTCAGCATAGATATTGAATAGATGTGAAGAAATGATACAACCCTAATACATACCTTTCCTGATTTTAAATCATGCAGTATCCCCTTGTTCTGTTTGGACAACATTTTCTCGATCGAGTTATTGGTTTCACATGAGCCCCAAAATGTTTCCCTTCCTTATTCTTTGAAAACTTATCTGATCTCACTACTCTTCCCACACAAGAGATACCAAAAAAAACCTCTTCCCAAAATGTCTTCTGTTAGGATAGTCTCTGGTTCCTCTTTAGTCTGAAGCAACGTCAGTAGCATTATTTTTAGCTGTTAAAAATCCACCAAGAATGGTCAAGGGTGAGTAAGTTTTTGCAAAAATGCTAAAATTCTTTCTAGCAATTGGGCAGAGGTAGAATTAACTTTGAATGGATAAGATCATACTATAATGTATCCTTTTTTTCTTTAACTTGTTGAAGTTTGGTGGTGGTTGTTGTTGATTGCCTTTAAATCACACCCAAATCATAGTGACTTTATGAACAAAAGGCCTGAAGCCTTTCTATAACTATCGACATTTATCAAAGTTAATAAACCAAAATAATTCATACACACTACAGCAATACATTAAAATGAAACAAATAATAAAGCTACTGTTTATTATTTTTACTTAGAAATCGACTATTTCACTAAAGATTTGCACTGGTAATGGTAGGCATTGGCAATTAGTCAAAATGTACATTTGAATCCTGAATCTAAAATTTATAAACTATTATTCAATTTCTATGATCTGAGATTCCCCACTTAGTTAAAGAGGAAAAGAAAGCTCTGTACAGTTAAGCTAAAATGAACTATAACTTATTTGAGTAACTCAGCACAGTACTTCTGAGTCAATTGCATTTGCTTTTCAAAATACCAAAACCTACACTTTCTTCTTTTCCTCTGTATTGTTTATATTTAAGAGGGGAATGTGCAGATGGCTAAAACTGCTAGTCATTTAAACTTAAAAATCCAATATCTAGGGAGTTCCGGTGGCCTAATAGCAAGAAGCTGCACTACAATCCCAGAGGTATGCAGTTTGAATCCACCAGATACTCTGCTGGAGAAGGAGGGGTTATCTCCTCCTGTACCAGTCAGATCTGATTTAAAGGTACATAGACACAAAATAATGACAATTTAAAAACAATCCAATATTACTGTCAAAGAGTAGGTTCTGACTCACAGTGACCCTCCATAATGACCCTCATGTTTCTGAGGCTGTAATCTCTGCAGGAGGAGACTGCCCACTGTTTTTCTATGGAGCAGCTGGCGTGTTAGACTTTATGCCATCAGGGATCCTGAAGTCAGTTAGATTCTGTTAAATTCCTCCCATGTTTAACCGTAATGAGGAGTGGAGAAAAAAAATGGATGTGAACTTTGCTTTCTGATATTATAATGATTCAGTATATAAAGATATATAAACATTGCTAAAGGACAAAGATCAAATCTTAATAAAAACATAGTCTATTTTTAGCAATATCTTGGATACACATTCTGGGAAAAGGAAAGTATTTTACAATAAAGGAGGAGAGATGAAAAAAATACTATATATTCACAGTTAAGCCATTTGACCTTATAGATTCATGACAAGAAGCCTTTCCTTTAGTTCTTTAGCTGATAATGGATGAGAAGAATAATCCCTTGTTCTTCTTCAATTAAGACCTGGCAGTAGATCTTAGTTTTGGGGTTTTTTAAAATTAAAAACACAGCTTAACTGTTTCCTAATTTCCTACCTGGCTGTACCATACAGATGTTAAAAAGACAAAAGCAGGGTGTCAGCAAAGCTGTAAATACCTGAGAATAAAAGCATAGCGCCAATATATGTAAACAGAAGTTCTGTTCAGGCATGCTAGAGGCTTGGGCAGAAACTAACAGAATCTCACTGGCTTCAGTAATTTTAGCCACCAACATTTTTCCTCTTATATAAACAATGTTTTTGTGAAAGTTTCTTTTTTTTTTTGTTTTTAAGATTTGAGCAGAGATTTTACTTATTACTTCTAAGCCTACTTGATATCAAACTGACACACGGCTTAAGGAAAAGGAATTTCCTATTTATTTTTTTGTTTTAGAATTATGATTATACAGGAGCAGTGTCCCTGAATATTTTAGAAAACTCCAAAAGTATTTTTTTCCTTAAATGAAAGAAGATAAATATTACACATTGCCATTGAGCTGGATCCTGAATCATAGCTAGCTGACCTTCTATTAAGCTTCTGATCATAGAGGAGACTCGTTTTTCTTCTGTAAAGTGTGGATTCAAACCACTAGAGAGGTACTGCTATTGAGTTAAAAGAGAAATTCTCACATGCCAGTTTCCAACTTATCCCCTATTGTTTCATTTCCTCTATAGTATTCTAAAGCACGAAGAGAAAAACACAGAATGAAGATACTAAAGTGTCAAAAGACATTTTCAGTTGGAAGGAAAAGTCTGAGTTGGAAGGGACAGGAGGTCTTAAGATTTCTGGTATCATATTCATCTCCCAGGTTGTTTTTGGTAGTGGTTATTTTTAAAATATTGGAATAAAAATGGAAGTGTACCTTCTCCGGGAGATGAGTAGTAGAGCAGATTAAGCCATGAAATTAGAACTGACATACAAACAGATTTGTACACCAATGTTCATAGCAGTGTTATTTACCATCTCAAGAAAATGGAAACGGCCCAGATGTCCAATCACAATTGAATAGATTGAGAAATTGTGGTACATTCACATGACGAAATACTACATAGCAGTCAGAAGCAGCAATTTCAAAAATTATTAATTACTTGGGAGAAGCTGGAGCGCATTATGCTGAGAGAACTCAGTATAAATACTGAGGACAAATACTCTATAAGACAATTAGTGTAGAAATAGGAAGATAACTGGTAAAATGTGTGAGGATCCAAGGAGGGGGAGGGTAGGAACAAAGGGGTAAGGATGGGCACGGGAGTAATCATAAGGTTGCACAGTTTGATGGATAAAGGGAGGGGTGATGATGGAAATGGGAAAGATCTGATGTAAGAACCATATATACTAAATGTGTTAGCATACCCGTATAAAATAAAAATTTTATTTGAAAAAGTTAGTATTGCATTGAACCAGATGAGGGAAAGAACTGTTTAAAAGCAATATATGATTGGGTATTATCGTTATGACAAGAGTCCAGAATGAAGGTTGCATAGTGGAGTGTACTGGGGAGGTGGGGATTGTCTACCAATGAAAGAAGTTTTCTTTTACTTTTCAAGGAGAAGTGCAAACTGGGTGGGGGGGAGGGGTAAACAGGGAGAAAAAAGCAACAATGAATGAATGGAAATCCAAAAAGTCTGTAAACATTCATTAAAATTGATAAAATAAAACAAATTTTTAAAAAGGAAAAATATTAGTGTAACCAGTGATGAATAAAAATAAGTGAAAGACAGATTTTACTTAAGACAAGTTTTCAAGTCACAAAACTTGCTTTCAAAGTGAAAATAAGAAGGTACCCTGGTCACATAGAGCAGAATATATTGGGATGATAAATTTAAGATTAGTTCATTCCATGGGAGAAAGCTAGGCAGTCTCCACCCTGGGAGATTTACAGTGTCAGAAATATCAGAAACTGATGGAAGATTTCTAGAAGAATGTTATTGATGAGCATCAACTCCAAGGCAGTGATTTGCATTTTTTGAGTGTGTATGCCCTCAAATATTATGGAATTCAAGGGCAATTGATACAGTTGCTCACTGACATCATCAGGACCCAGACTCTCTCCCACCCATCACTCCTTATGTTGGACTCATCTTTTGCATACTAACAATATGACTTTTTAGTTTTAGTTATTGCTTTCATAAGATGCAGTATAAAACCCAAACCCATCTCTTTCTGGTTTCTTAAGACCAAAAATATGTTTTCAAGTAAAAATGACCACATATCCCCATCCTACACCCCCAGCTTCTGCTCAGATCTCCCTGAACAGAGTTGAAGCATATCACCATTCCTAAAACAGTTGCTGAAAGTTGAATGTGATTTCTATGATTGTGTTTGATTAATAAGTGTTTACACTACAACTATGATGATCACTGTCCTCTGTATTACAAGGAAGAGAGATAGATGTAAAGGCAAAATATGCTTTTGAGTAAAAAACTCCAAGGAAATTTAAAGAGTATAGGAACCCAAGAATATTCAATATTACATTAGTCCATGATCAGACATGATGAGATCCAAATGCTAAGAGAGGGGTAAATTGATTCTACATGATGATGATTGAGTTATTTGACAATAGATTATTTACAGCAATGTGTTCATTTAGGAAAGCATAATAAGGGAAGTTAGCAGCAATGAAGTAAGCTCCAAACCATTTCTCAAACAGAAAATTCAGGATATATGATTAACATTTTAAAAAGGGCATTTCTCAATTATTTATTTTATTAAAGAATGTATTTCTAGTACTTGCTGAAAACTCTCTATATGTCTGTAATGAAACCAAAGACTTTCATGTGAATAGATGATAAAAGATGATGGCTGCTTGACATTTTTTCTATTTATGCTTCTGCATTAGGTTTCTGTTATCAGTGGAACCTATCTTGGCTTGGATTACATGAGCAAGCAAAATGGGGGTGAAGGTGGTATCATCATCAATATGTCATCTTTAGCAGGTAAAAACCAATTATAATAATTGCTGTTATGATAACATTTTTAATCAGTAATTTGTACAGAACACACTGTACTTCATAGTTATTTATTAGCTCCTTGTATTTAAAATGGAAACTTGGTCAAGGGGTTTTTTTGGTTTTATTTTTTAATGGGTCTGTGGAATTTTACATTGCATGATATCACAAGTTTGAAGTATGTATGTATTTCCGTTATTTTTAATTAGAGTTTTAAAATTATTTTATTGTTCCCTACTTGCTCACTTATTGTCATGGAGTCAGACTGACTCATAGCTAATCCCTAGCAGATTTTCTAAGACTGTAATTCTCATAAGAGGAGATTACCTATCCTTCTTTACAGAATTTCTGATGGGTTTGAACTGCCAGAGAGGTGTACCCTCTGAGTTAGCAGCACAAATCACTATGGCCTGTGCTACCAAAGTAATATTAAAATAAGTTTACCTGTATTTTTACAGTATCATTATTCTTCAGAGGTTGTTCTGATACTCCTAACTAATAATAAATGCAAAAAAACCTTTGACAAAGTGAAAAGTACAAACAAAATGAAGATGTTAAACACAATTAAATTACCATGTAATTTTATTAAGATTGTATAATTTTAAAACATGACATGCATATTTGTTGGGTTATACTAAATTGCTGTAATAAAATACATCCAAATTAGCTTAAATATAGTATAAGCTTATTCTTCATGAATTTATTAGCAAAGAGCAAGATTCTTGGGGTAAGATATCTTTCATATATCCAGTCAGTTAGAAAAATAGGCTGAGAGTAATTCTACTGTCTTCATTCAATATGGTGTTGCTAAGTTTACTCTGGCCCTAGTGACCTCCTTTCCCTCTAACAGAAGATAAAAGAACCTCACTTCCACTCCAATGATTTTTCTTTTCTTTCTTGTTTTAACAAAGTCTTTTTTGTGTGTGATTTTAACTAAATTCACAGAAAAGTTGAGTTTTCATTTATTCATTGCAGCACATTTTCCTCCCTCCCCAGTCCACGTTGTAATGCACCTCTTGTTCCAGATCCTTGTCATACGTTTAATTCCAACTGATGCATTCCTTTCAGATAGTCTTTATCTGTTCCAATGCAATATTCATTAGCTATTCACCGTTTTCCTATACAACCCCACACCAATTCCCATGTCAAGCCTATTTTACAACAATGGTGTTATGCAATATTCGTCCTTTTGTGACTGAGATAGGTCACTCGGTCTTCTAGGCTCACACATGTTGTGTAGTGTTTTATAAGTTCATTGTTTTTCAATGTTAGGTATTAGTCCATTATGCGAATGTACCAGTTTTTCTATCCATATGTTTGTTGATGGACAGTTGGGCTACTTCCATTCTTCACTATTGTGAATAATACAGCAATAGCCATTAGTGTGCATACATCTGTTAGAGTTGTGGCTCTGATTTCCTTACGATATTTCCTAGTTGTGGGACGCTACATAAAATTGAGTCTCTATAGTCACTTTTTGAGAAAATGCCAGACTTCCTTCTGTAGTGGTTGTACTATTTTGAATTCCCACTAGCAATTAATAGTAGTTCTGGTCTCTCCACAACCTTGAGAGGATTTGTTGTTTGCTGCCTTGTTGAACTTTGCTATTGTTACTGGGGTAAGATGATACCTCATAGTTGCTTTGATTTGTTTCTCTCTGATAAGCAAGAGAATTTGGAACTTTTTTCATGTGTTTGTTAGTACCCATCTGACTTTCTTTTTTGGTGAGTGTCTATACGCATCTTGTGCCAATTTTGCAATTGAATTGTTTACCATTTTCTTGTTGAGATGCTGGTGTAGTCTATCAGTTTTAGATGAGTCCTTTATCAGGTAGGTCATTGTTAAATATTTTTCCCACTCTGTGGGTTTCTTTTTATCCTATTGTGGATTGCCTTTGGTAGAACTGTCATTTTCACAATATTGAGTCTTCCTATCCATAAGCATGGTATATTCCTCCATTTCTCTAGATCACTTCTTGTTTCTTGCAATAGTGTTTTGTGATTTTCTTTGTATAGATTTTTTGTGTCTCTAGTTATATTTGTTCCTAAATATTTCATCTTGTCATTAGCTCAAATATTTAATGTTGAGCCATTGTAATTGGCATAGAGCTTGATCTCATAGCTCATCTAAGAGAGCCTTGGAAATGTAATATGATTGTGTATCTGTGGGCAGAATGTTTTTAAGTAGAAATTAATTCTTTCTTACAGCATAAAATCCAAAACTATTATTCATTCAGAATAATATGATTTTCTATGATCTGATGTAATATTACTCAATAGCAGCTATATACATTTGGTAGGCCTTTTTCTTTTTCTTTTTTTTTTAGTAAGTTAGTCAAATAACTTTACTTTTCAAATTCTAGGAGAAAATTTTAAATGATTTATGATTATTTTAATAATGCAAAAATCTGTAAACCCGCCAAGCCAAACCAACCAACCAAATATACTCGTTGTTCTTGAATTAATTTCATCTTAGGATGTTGTTGTTGTTGTTGTTGTCATCAAGTTGGAACCTATCCATCATCATTGTCCCTCCATCAGGTTTTCAGACGCAATTAATCACACAGCAGGTGATGTCATGTGTTCCTCCCTGCAGAGCAGCTTGTGGGTTTGAACCTCATTCTTTTGCATTGCCAATATAACTCATTACCACTAAGCCACAAGTTGATTCTAACTCTTGGCAATCCCATATTCCAGAACTATTCTATAGTATTTTCTTGGCTGTAATCTTTGTTGACACAGATATCGAGATCTTTCTTCTATACTTTTTAAACAGTGCTGTAGGGGGTGTTCAGGGGGTGTTCACGTTACCAACTTTTAGTCATGCACAAACGATTGAAACACACAGAGATCTCTAACCTTGCTACCAATAGGGATTTAAAGAAGGGTTTTCTAGAAGTTCTCAAAGATAGACTAATATCTCATTTCCTCAGAAATAGGCTTTCATCTTTTAATTTCTTACAGACACATTGGGATCTATTTATGTATTTATGTAGCTACTCTATAAACACGATGAAAGTTATACAAGTGTTCAGGTCTATCATTCATAGGGTCGCTATGAGTCGTCTACTACTTGACGGCACTTAACAATACAACAACAACATTATACCAAAAACTGTATAGCTTTTAGTGGTGATCAAACAATAATTCCATATATTTTGTGCAGTAAAGAAAGAAAGCTAGTAAAGCTTGGAGAACCTGTGGGTACACGTTGTTTTTGTGTTACTGGAGACGCAGATTTTATTCTTGGGAGATTTGAAATGAGTCAGGATATGACAAATTTGAGACTCTGGAGTGGCACTATACCGTAAGAGAAAAGCTTGCTTACCCCAAAAAAGCATTAATTAGAGGAAAATGCATTGTAATATTATTTTTTATCTGATAACAACTTGCATGTATTTATATGTACTTATCTGTATCAAGCACTAGGAAGCTATGGTGGCTAGTGGTAAGGAGTTGTGTTACCAACACAGCTGGATCTACCAGCTGCTCCATAGGAAAAAGTTGGGTATATCATCAAGTTGGAATCTTGTGATCTCCTGTGTGATTAACTGCCCCTAAAAACATGCTGTAAGTTTGGCTATAAGTTGATTCCATCTCCATGATAGTTGACAACAAAGTAAACGCTTACTGTATATTTGGCACTATTTGAGAATGCTGTTCATGCATGAACTCGTTCAGCCATCACAGTAACATTATGAAGTATATTCAGTCACCTCCAGTTTTCCAGGTGAGGAAACTGAGGCAGGAGAGTTTAAATGTTTCCCAAGTTTACTCAGCAAATAAGAGTCTGACATGGAGTTCAAACACAACCAGCCTAACACAGGACACAATACTATTAATTGTTAGATTATCAGTTTTGTCTGAAACATTGTGACTTAAATAAATGAGTTAAATTAAGGGTGTTTCTCTAGTCTCATGGCACAGTTTCATTCCCATGGCTTTATTATTAAAATTTCCATAAGACTTTAAACTCTTGACCTGCATTTGACATGCTTAGTGAAATATTGGAAATATTGAGGAGTTTATCATAGTCTCAAAAAGGACAAGTTGCCATTGAGAAGAACAATTTAAGGCCTTATAATGTGATACCATTTGTCTTTCTTGGCTAAGAGCATGCATTACCACAGTGCTCACTCCTGGTTGTTAATTCTAAATATTTGGAGCCATGTATTGGTCTTTCTCTAGTTATGCTGATAAAACAGTGAATGCATAAAAATTCAGGGAATTTTTGTTTTAAGCTACCTTTCTGGTGCTGTTACTGTACCAATTTGTGAATTTCATAGCATTCCAAATTGTTTCTCCTTCCACTACCTGTCCCAACACACAGAATAGCCCTTTAAAAAGGTCAAGTAACTGAAGTTCATTGTTGCCCATTCTTCTTGATTTGATACCCTCTAAATTTTAGGTTTTCCTGGGTGTCATAATTGATTAAGCTGCTTAATTACTAGCCCAGAGGGGCTTCAGCAGCAAAGTATAACAGTCTATGTCCAAAAGATCACAACTATGAAAATATTGTGAAGCACAATTCAAAACGCTGCTCTGTACACATGAGGTCATTATGAGTTGGAGTTGACTAGACAACAACTAAAATCAAAATGCATGTTGAAAATTTGTGCTCAACACCCTCCCTTCACATAATCTGTGACCTCTATATCTAGCGCTTTTCTGTTATTCCCTTATGACCAGTGACCAATCTGGACAGTAGCAATCCTTGCTACTTCTCTCCCATCCATAAACTTGCTTTTCACTATCATGATTTCATATCATAAACAATATTAAAATTAGTATTTCTGCTTTATATTGTATTTGAGAGCCTCTATTTTCCCACAATAAGATTGTTTCTATACAAAATCAGGTTACTGTTTTAGTGGAGTAAGATAAAAAAGGGCCCTTCACTGTTAACCATTTCCTCAGCAAAGATATTAACAATTTTACTCTCTTGAAGTCATGGCATATAGGAAAAGCTCAAAGAACGAAAGTTGTCTG